TCAAGAGAGTGTATTATTATTTTAGGTAATGTAATTAAAAAAAAAAAAAACAAAGTTTGATAGGGTCACAGGTTATAATTTATGAGAAACAGTTATGTAGTATTTATTTATTTAGTTGTGGGTGAGTAAGTGGTTTTTAAGAACAATTTTTAATTTATAAACAGTGTTTCTTTTATGGTCACAGGTAATGAATTCCAGATTTTTGGGCCTTTTATGTGCATTGAGGTTTTGCATAGTGTGAGATGGACATGAACATCAAAGAGTGATCTGTGCCTTGTGTTATGGTCATGTGTTCTGTTGAGGTTGGCAAGGAGACATTTGAGGGGAGGGTTTATATCTGAGTTAAGTGTTCTATGTATGTAGTAGGTACAATAATAAGTATGGATGTTTTGTACAGCGAGCAGGTTTAGAATTTTGAATAATGGTGGAGTGTGCTGCCGGTAGTGGGAATTTATCATCATTCTGGCTGCAGCCTTTTGTTGGGTAATTAATGGTATGAGATGGTTTATTGCTGTTGAGCCCCATGCGCAAATTCCATAGGTGAAATAGGGGTAAATGAGCGAGTGATATAGGGCCAGGAGGGCTGACTGTGGAACATAGTACCGTATCTTTGATAGTATGCCTACGGTCTTGGAAATTTTCTTGGAAATTTGTTGTACATGTGCTTGAAATTTGAGCCTATTATCAGGGTGGACTCCTAAGAATTTTTCCTCTGTGAGCTTTGTGATAGGTGATCCGTTTATCATTATGTTAAGAGGACATCTGTAGTTCTGTTTCCAAACTGAATGAAGTAGGTTTTGTCAATGTATAGAGTAAGTTTGTTAGTCATCATCCAGGTAGATATTTTCTGTAATTCGGTATTTACAGTATTGGTTAGCATGACTGGGCTTGGGTGAGAGAAGACGTATGTAGTGTCACCTGCAAACAGTGGGTGTTTGAATAGTTGCAATGCATTTGGTAGGTCGTTTATGGAAATGAAAAAGAGAAGAGGGCCAAGGACACTTCCCTGTGGGACACCAACTGTAATTGGCTGTGTGGAAGAGTTTGCTCCATTTGTGTACACATATTGGCTTCTGTTGCTGAGGTATGACTTTAGGTAGTTGAGGGAGTGCCTTCTTATACCATAGTGTGACAATTTTATGTGCAGCAAATCATGGTCAACTGTATGAAAAGCTTTATGTAAATCAATGAAGTTCCCCAGTGGGACTTCTTTTTTCTTGAGTGCAGTGTATATTTGTGTTAGCATGTGTATAACAGCATCATTCGTATTTTTATTAGGCCTGAACCCCAACTGACAGGGGTTTATTATGTTGTGGGAGATAAGGTAGGAATAGATTCACTTATGAATTAATTTTTCAAAGATTGTACAGAGAGGGTGTAAGTTGGATATTGGTCTACGGTTATTCAAGTTTGTTTGGTCTCTTCCTTTATGTATCGGGGTGACCCTCGCTATTTTGAGAACTGTAGGGAAGGTAGAGGATTCGATGGATTTGTTAGTGTTGCAATGATTGGTGACAGCACTTGAAAAGCTTTTTTGTATATAAAGGGTGGCAAGGTATTTAAATCTGTCTTGTTTTGTAGTGTGTTGATAATAAGGGAGACTTCTGTTGGGTTAGTCGGAGCTAGGAACAGTGTGTTCGGGTAGTTGCCAGTGAGGTAGTCATTGGGTGGGGTATTTGAGCTTGGGATTTTATCGGCAAGGTTTTTTCCTATGGTGGAGAAGAAAACATTGAGTCTGTCTGCTGTTTCAGTTGGTGGGAGTTGGGGTTCATCTGCTTTTGTTAGTTCAATTGCACTATTTCCTGATACCTTTTTTGTTCCTAGAATTTCTGATAGGGTTTTCCAGGTCTTTTTTATATCATCTTTTAAGTTGGATAATCTGTTCTCAATACAATTTTTTAGCCCTTCTTAACAGGCTGGTTAGGACTGACAAGTAACGTTTTGTTTGGTCTCTGGTTATGTGACCCATTCTGTACTGTTTTTCGTAGAGGTGTTTTGGATTTATGGATTTGAGGATGCTGGGTGTTAGCCAGGGACTGTTCAGTCTCTTAGCTGTAATCTGTTTAGTTTTTTTAGGGCAGTGCTTATTATAGAGGTATTGGGTCTTTTTTTAGAAAATTATTAACCCTATCATGGTCGACAGACCCTCTCCTAAACTTGTTCTCAGGGTTGAAAACTTTTCGAAAAAAAAAATTATATTTTCTTGTGAAATGATAGAGAAGCTTTTCCTAATCATAATGACACCAAACGTATGAAATTTGATGGAAAACTTACGGAATTATGCTCTCAAGAAGTTAGCAGTCTCAACGATGTTTATGCATCGGAAATTTTGCCCACTTTGAACCCTATTTTCGGCCAATTCCAATGTATCAGTCGACAAAAATCATAACTATTTCGCTAGAACTCCATTTTTTCTATCAAATGAGTACAAGAAACCACCCATTTATTGATTTCAACTATCCAATAAAGTGGTCAGAAATTGGCAATTTTGCCAATTTCACACAAATTTCAGAAGATGCCAATTTCCAAATAGGGTCCAGAATAAACAAGACAGACATTCCTGGCACTAAAATAAAAAAATTTTCTATGCATTAGTCACTTCCCCAGGCTTCTCTTACATTTCTTTTGCTTTCCACTTTGAATTTTTATTCTCACAAAAAAAATAGAAGATTTACTGTTATGCAGACTACTGCATTAGTGTAGAAATAGTATAAATGATATCAGCGCACTTGTGAAAGAACATTAGACTCATCAGTTGACGTATACTGGATGCGTGGCACGATTTGTTTACTTTTGAACTTAGGCAAAAATCAAACATTTCTGCTACTTTGAGCTCAATTTCAAGGTACTTTTCATTGTGAAACCAGTCAAAATCATCTCAATTTCTGTAATATGTCGTCCATTCTATAAAATGAGACCATGAAAACTAGAATACAACCATAAATAGCATACGAAAATACACTGCAAAGTCGCTGTTTTAAAGCAAAAACACAGTCGGAGGTTTTTTTTCTCAATATGCAGTGTGTGCTGCAGGATTTTTTTATACTGTGCACACTGACCACATAGACCCATTCTTTCATATGCAGGCCTACCAGCTTACTCTCACTAGATTTGAAGGCGCTAAAATTTATGTGTACTAGTACGGCACCAACCCTGGCGTGCAAGCCATACTAGTACGGCACCAACCTTGGCGTGCAAGCCGTACTAGTACGGCACCAACCCTGAAAGGGTTAATACATTCGTCAGTATCTGTACAATTTCTAGCTCAATATGCCAGTACAGTATATGTTTGTCATTGCTGTTGTGAAGTTATTAATGGCTGCCTCATTATGAAGTCTGAAAGTGACTTCAGTAGTGTCTTGGGGTAATTTACCTAGATTAGTTATGAGAAAGGTAGGGTAGTGGTCTGTGATATTATCTGTGATTATGCCTGATTTTAAAGGGGATATGGTGTTGGTCCAGATGTGGTCTAGTAGGGAAACACTAGTCTCTATAATTCTTGTAGGTTTTGTTACTGTTGGTAGCAACAAGCAGTTACTCATAGTGTTTGTGAATTCAGTAACGTGTGGGTTCTGGTCTTGTAGGAGATTTATATTGAGTCACCTGTGAGTAGTAAGTGATCTTTATTCATGTGTGCATCAGTTATCATACTTCCTAGGTTTTCACTAAAACGGCTTATGTTTGACTGTGGTACTCTGTAGATGTTTATCACCGAGAAGTTTTTGAAGGTATTTGTATTTGAATTTAGTTATTATATATTCCCCATGTTCATCCCTTGTGCATGTATTATTGATACATTCTAGTTGGTCTGAGTAGTATACAGCAGTGCCACCCCCTTGTTGATCTGGCCTACAGTTGTGTATGGCTGTGTAACCAGGAATGGCATAGGCATCTGTAGTATCAGGCTTTAGCCAGGTTTCGGTGAGAGTAATGATGATCATACTGGCTGTTAATCAACTGGTGTGGGTTGCATCCCGGAGGGACAAGATTAAAAGACTCCATTGGGAAATAAGACAGTCCTCAATTATGACTTTCTTGGCTTATCCTGGGTGGTTAACCCTCTGGGTTAAAAATCCAAACAAATCTTAAGGTTATGCTCAAATTTTATATATACTTGTCAAGGCCTTATTTAGATTATGCTGATTCATTCTGGTATCCTATTACATACAGAATGAACATAAACATGCTGGAAAGTATAAGGAAAAAGATGAAGTTGATCCCAAGTATCAGAAACCTTTCCTATGTAGATAGACTGAGGGTTGTGAATTTGCACTCTGAAAAGACATAGAATTATTGGGATATGGGTAAAGTGTATAAATGGAAAACAGGAATAAATAAAGGAGATATAAGTAACATGCTGAAAGTATCTGGGCAAAATAGGACTCAGCAATCGATTCAAATGGTACATTATATAATCATGTGGGAGTGCTAAACCCGTAGGATTATACAGCGCATGTGGAGGGTATGGAAGGTATTCAGGCTCAATTCAGGAACTGGAGCACAGATCCAATGCCCTAGATCAAGAGCCCCTCACCAGCGTCAAGAAACCTCCCTTGAGGGGTCAAATTGTACAAAATTAGATTTAGAAAGGATAGAGGGAGGTATGGTTTGGCAATATGGTTATGGTAGAGTGGAATCAAAATATTAATATCAAATTAAGAACTAAACTCAAAAGAATCTGTAGTGGAATGGAACAAACTCCTAGTTAGCTACACTGGGGTAATTTTATAGGCTGGACGGGTATTGGAGTGGGTGTGGTCCGAGTATAAATTAAACCTGCTTAGCATGAACCAGGAGACCTACTGTAGTGCTCCTTCATTCTTGTCATTTCCACTGAGTTCCTTCGAGTCATAAAACTCGTGTAAGCCCTATGTAGGTCCTAACAGCAGCGTAGTGGTCTAGCGTGTCACAGAGATCACTACACCTACCCTTCACCCACAGAACCTCATCAGGACTATCATAAATACCTGGTTCATACACGACAGCCATGTTACACTCACCAAGTCATATTCCTCCTCATCATCACACATAAAATCATCCTCAGCGTCGGACATAATGGAGGAAGTTTGGTCGGCTACTGCACTAAACTGCCGCTGCACCTCCCACCTCCAACAACACTCCTCTACTCTTCCACTGATCCTCCACTACTTCAATACTCATCCAATACTTCTCCAATACTCTCTAACACTAATCTTATATCTGCATATATATCTCTCTATTCATATATGCGTGTTTTTCCCTATTTGCCAAGTTTTTATTTAAGCTCCATGAAAACTTAAAATTTTAAAATTATTTTATATATCAAATCAGGTAGAATTTAGCCTAGGGTAATACAGTTAAGTCAAATCTTACATTGATGAGCTGGTTGTGCAATTTGAGACAAAATGTATGAGTATAAAAGTATAAATTCACAACCTACACACTTTTTTTTTTAAATGAAGAATTTACATTTAAAAATAAGCAATATAGTCACACGACCATAACACAGGACACAGATCTCTTTTTGATGTACCCCGTGTCCATACCACACTGTAAAAACTCTATGCACATAAAGGGCCCCAAAATTTGGAATTCATTACCAGTAAATACTAAAGTAACATCAGTTTAAGACTCTTCTCAAAAACCACATACTCACCCTAAACTAAATACTCAATATTTAACCTTAAAAATCTCCCAATTACCTAAATCTTAAAACTTCAAAACATGACGCCCAAAACTACCTTGTAGTTACACAATATACCTTGTAGTATAAATACCTACCCAAGACATTACTACCTTACACCCAGATGTAGCATTCTCATACTGTAAACTACTTTCAGCAACTCACAATGTTATATTCCCATAATATAATTTCAATATTTACTACTGAAACTATTGTAATTTGGGTAAAATTACTGTGTACCATAATTAAACAAGATGTACAACTTAAACAATGTTCAAGTTCTTTAGTATTATGTAGTCTGTAAGCCATTAAATTAAGTCTGCCCATAATGCCTAGGCATGATAGTGGCTCTCTGCACTGCAACTCATTTTTGTAATTTCACAATCTCAATGTAATCTTGCAAGGAAATAAAAAATGATTGATTGGTATAAAAATGCTTTATATAGCGTTGTTTACATAGCGTTGGGTTATCCTTGGTAATTTACACATATGTTACTATGTATGATAATTGTAGTCACTTAAATTTGTATAACTGTACTTATGTGAACCTGTACCTAAATATACATAATGTCTATTAGGATTGAATAATTTTGTTTCGACAATATGCCATAAAATATGCATTTGGAATTTTTGATCTTTAATTATTCTAAATTACAAGGAGAATTATAGTTAATGAACCGCCAAGCAAACCAATTTAGAAACTTAGTACAATTAATTAATTATTGTCTGAAACAAACCATTAAATACGGAAATCAGAGACAAATCTTTGGTAATTCTTCAATTTTCGGCCGTTTGATACAATGGATAAAGAATACTCTTACAAACTTATTCATTATATTTTCTATATAAACGACATAAATAAATAAATAAATAAATTTGTAATTCAGAAGATTGCGATGTAATTTGTGATGTAAACAATGTGAGGGCAGACGACGAGGCGGCTCATACTGGCACTGCTTCTCTTTGTAACATGTCTTAGTTATCATACATGTGTATAGCACAGGTGTATTGTTTCAGGTGTGGCTGCCGTTACCTCCTCCTTACATCAGTTATATATAGAGCAGTGTAAGATCGTGTGTATATGTACACGTGGCTGGTGCTGGCAGGACCCATATACCACTGATGTTACGTTTTCAGGTGTGTAAGACTAATAAAATTTCAGATTTTTAACCCGGGGAGGGTTAGCCACCCAGGATACCCCATAGGGCAGCTGCCAGGATAACATGGCTAGCACCAGGATAACACCAGGGGCTTAGCTCCCAAGTTTAACAATGGGGCAGCCGTCAGGTAATTCAGGGCTAGCTGCCCAGGAATAACCACTGGGCTAGCGCCAGGGAAACCCAGGGGAAAAGCTGCAGGATAATCCAGGGGCTAGCCACCCAAGATACCCCAGGGGCTAGCCGCCCAGGATAACCCAGGGGCTAACCGCCCAGGATAACCCAGGGGCTAACCGCCCAGGATAAACTCCAGGATAACCCAGGGGCTAGCCGCCCAGGGTAACCCAGGCACTAGCTGCCCAGGATAACCCAGGGTAACCCAGGGGCTAGCTGCCCAGGATAACCCAGGGGCTAGCCGCCCAGGATAACCCAGGCACTAGCTGCCCAGGATAACCCAGGGTAACCCAGGGGCTAGCTGCCCAGGATAACCCAGGGGCTAGCCGCCCAGGATAACCCAGGGGCTAGCCGCCCAGGATAACCCAGGGGCTAGCCGCCCAGGATAACCCAGGGCTAGCGCCCAGGATAACCCAGGGCTAGCGTCAGATACCCAGGGGCTAGCCGCCCAGGATAACCCAGGGGCTAGCCGCCCAGGATAACACCAGGGGCTAGCCGCCCAGGAAACCCAGGGGCTAGCTGCCCAGGATAACCCAGGGGCTAGGCCACCCAGGGGCTAGCCACCCAGGGTAACCCAGGGGCTAGCCGCCCAGGTAACCCAGGGGCTAGCCGCCCAGGTAACCCAGGGGCTAGCCGCCCAGGGTAACCCAGGGGCTAGCCGCCCAGGGTAACCCAGGGGCTAGCCGCCCAGGGTAACCCAGGGGCTAGCCGCCCAGGGTAACCCAGGGGCTAGCCGCCCAGGGTAACCCAGGGGCTAGCTGCCCAGGGTAACCCAGGGGTTAGCCGCCCAGGGTAACCCAGGGGTTACCGCCCAGGGGTTAGCCACCCAGGGTAACCCAGGAGTTAGCTGCCCAGGATAACCCAAGTGTTAGCTACCTAGGATTAGTAAGTTTATTCAGGTATAGGTACACATAAATACAGTTACATAAATTATCATACATAGCAGCTCATGTGTTTATTACCTAGGATAACCCATAAAGTCATGACAGAGTGACTTACAGTGGAACCTTGACTTATGAGTTTAATCCGTTCCAGGAGCTAGCTCATAACTCAATTTACTCATATATCAAATTAATTTTCTTCATTTAAATTAACTGAAAAGCCATTAATTCGTTCCTGCACGCTGGAGAGACGAGAAATACTTGAATATGATGCTATTTTCAACTGTACTGCTTATTTATCTATCACAATTCATCTAATATGACATAATAAACAATATAATTAACACAGAAACATGATATATACTCTAGAATGAAGAAAATAGGCCATAATATGGTGGCAGAGGCAGCGGCGGAAGCGTCCGCCATTTCCTGTCCAATTTGACTATATAGTATCTTCCCATGCTCTTATTGTAAGAGAAAATGGAGAATTTTTGAGGCTAACTGTTGTAGATCACTAGTTTTCTAAGGAAAACACTGAAAATATCGTATATAAAAACATAATAAATCGTAATACACTACAGAATGTAAAGAAATAATAAACTGTTTATATAAAGTATACATGTACATGTATATGTACTGACACACTGAACATAACTGATACAATTTGTTTTGTTTAATCACTGAACATAACTGATATGGTATCTCCTGCGAACTGCTTCTCTCTCAACCACATCAGCAGCAGCTTTTGCATTTTTGCATAGGTTGAGATGGACACAGGGGATGTCAAAGAGAGTTTTGTGCTTATGTTGTTCCTGTGTGTTCTATTGTAGCTATCAAGGAGAAGTTAGAGAGGAGGGTTTATACTGGAGTTTAATGCAGGAGTTGGTGATCATCCGCACAGCACCTTTTTGTTGGGTTATTAACCCAGGCATCCCCAATTTTTTTCATATGGCACACACTGAGTGCGCACACCCATTCTCTCATGTCTAGGCAACTCAGGACTATCGTGCCAATGTTGAATGAATGACAAATGAAACATATATAGTATACGTTTGGGGGCGCTACGCGAGAGAACGTATATATACATTTGGACCATTTAAGGGTTGATGGTTTACAGTGATTAGATATTTCCCAAGGCACAAATGCCATAGGTGAGGTAAGGGTAGATTAGAGAGTGGTACATATAATGTAAATAGTACATTATTATGCAAGACAGTTATAATCATCCAAAGATTGTGTAATTGTATTTGAATAAACTTACATTTCTCAAGCACTGAGTGACCCCTACAGGTTTAGCACCTCCCCCTAGAAAATAATAGTAATGAAAAAGTTGTATGCACAAAGAAGTGTGTATCTCTTGGCATATATGCACAAAGAAGTGTGTATCTCTTGGCATATATGCACTGAGGGTTTAATCTGTCATTGGCACTAAAGTATCCTTGACTGATATACAGTGGAACCACAGCACTCGAACTTAATTGGTTCCAGAAGTCTGTTCAAGTGCCAGTTTGTTCGATTACAGAACAAATTTTTCCCAACCAGTTTTCTTTTTGGTTGGCTGTCATCACTAACTCTCTTAGGCCCCATGGTGACTTATTTATACAAATAATATAAAAAACACTGAAAAATGCGAGGAAACATGAAATAGTTTACAGTGAAGCTCTGGTAGGTCATGTTTGGCCGAGTGCCAAGCAAACGGTCAACTACTGAGCGATTTGTTTACTGAACAAAGCATTCGAATATCGAATTGTTCGAGTACGGAGATGGTTAAATACCTAGGTTCCACTGTACAAGTGATATGCAACCTTAACCCTTAAACTGTCCAAACGTAAATCTACGTCCACGTGCGGGGGGGCTCCGAACGTAGATCTACGTTTTTTTACATGCTTTCAAATGGGGAAAATCAAGGTCGGAGAGCTGTGCACGTGAACGTAGATCTACGTTTGGACAGTTCAAGGGTTAATGATCCCCTTGTATGTATTTAGGATTTTATTCAAATTACTAACCCAGAGTAGCCCAATAAAACAAATATCATCAGCCTGTTTGGTTTACTTCCAGTAGGGTTGTTTAATCTTTTTAATGTAACTGCAACAAGCAGCATTAGTGACCTCTATCAATGACCTTCTTAATGCATAAGTAAGTTTACTTAGGTCCAGGTACACATTAGTACAATCATCATAACTAGTAACATGTGTAAATTATCTAGGATAACCCAAAAGCCAAAGCATCCCAGGTACTTAAATCTGTTTGATTGTAGATGACATGAATTTCATCATCTCTCCTTCAAATCAGAGGTATCTACTTGGATAACTACCAATGAAATCACTTTTAATATTGACAAGACCTGCATGTTTGAGCTGCAAATATCCAACTATATATTCATATTCATAGTTTATTTGGACATGATACATAGTTGTACAAGGAATTTTAGTAGTTGGGTGTACATGCCAAAAGTCCCTTGTATGCAGAGCATTATGGGCAGGCTTAAAATTAACTTAAAATTAACAAGCAATGAAAGGTTCAGTGGTAAAATTACCATAAATATTTTACAATATGAAGTACAAGTGAGTATTTGAAACAATGAAATTTGAACATTTCGATATTGAATCATTATAGTTGTACAAATTTGTCACATTACATTGTATAACAAACGAGAAGATCAATTTACTGTATGATGTCTTGAAGTTTTAAGCTTTAAATAATTGGGAGAATTGTTGGTAATGGTAGATATTGAGTGCTGATTATTTAGTCCTGGGCAAGTAAGTGGTTTTTTAGAAGTCTTAAACTGATTTTCAGGCCTGGTTACTTTAGTATTTTCTGGTAATGAATTCCAGATTTTGGGGCCCTTTATGTGCATAGAGTTTTTACACAGTGTGATATGGACTCGGGGGTACATCAAAAAGAGATCTGTGTCTTGTATTATGGTCGTGTGTCCTGTTAAGGTTGGTGAGGAGAAGTTTGAGTAGAGGGTTTATGTTTGCGTGTATTGTTTATGTATGTAGTAGGGACATGAATAAGTGTGGATGTTCTGTATGGTGAGCAAATTTAGACTTTTGAATAGAGGCGGAGTATGCTGTCACGAGCGGAAATTTGTTATCATTCTGATTGCAGCCTTTTGCTGGGTTATTAGAGGCCTTAGGTGATTTGATGTTGATCCCCATGCACAAACTCCACATGTGAGATAAGGGTAGATGAGTGAATGATACAATGCAAGGAGACTGATTGTGGAACATAGTACTGTATCTTTGATAGTATGCCTACTGTCTTAGAGATTTTCTTGGAAATTTATTGTATATGTGTCTGGAATTTGAGGCTACTGTCTAGGTGGATTCCTAGGAATTTTCCCTCTGTGAGTCTTGTGACGGGTGATCCATTTAGTGTTATGTTAAGTGGAACATTTGCAGCTCTGGTTCCAGATTGAATGAAACAGGTTTTGTCAGTATTTACGGTAAGTTTATTCATCATCATCCAGGTAGATATTTTCTGCAATTCAGCATTGACAGTTTTGGCGAGTATGGCTGGGTTTGGGTGTGAGAAGACGTATGTAGTGGGTGTGAGAAGACGTATGTAGTGTCATCTGCAAATCATATGGATTTGAGTAGCTGCGATGCATTCGGTAGATCATTGATGTAGATGAGAAAGAGGAGTGGTCCTAAGACACTTCCCTGTGGGGCTCCTACTGTGATTGGTTGTGTGGAAGAGTTTGCACCATTTGTGTACACATATTGGCATCTGTTACTAAGGTATGACTTCAGGTAGTTGCGAGAGTGGCCTTTTGTACCATAGTGTGTTAATTTAGTGTGCAGCAATTCATGGTCGGCTGTATCAAAAGCTTTATGTGAGTCAATGAAAATGATAAAGATTAATGATTCCACAAGACAAGATGAGGTCAAATTCTTAAGTCTGTACTTTGACAGCAATTTAA